CTTTTACACGTAAGTGCCCTAACATTAGGGAAGAAACTTCAGTTAGTAAACTGTACAGAGAAAGGTGAGTAAAACCTGCAATAGCAGCATTGTTTTTAATCAGACTAGTTCAACAATAAATACAATGTGATATGTATATGCTATATACATATGTTAGGCCTCCTAAGTTTGTGGTTTGTGAAGCTTGGGAGCATTAAAATCATTGAACAGCAAAACATTGAACATTATTCAATCAATCCTTTTGATCAACCTAAACAAAGACTTACACTACTCCAACTCAACACCAGGTACTACCTTAAATACGTTTAATGGGCTAAATAAAAACCATGTGATAATGCAGCTGTGAGGCCTCCATTAATCAACTAATTAAAAAGAGAATGCACCTGATGAGAACCCATATACAGACAGCAGTCTAGAGCGACCTCTAGTGGCGACTACTATCTTCACTACAGCCGGCCTGCAGCAGTCTGCTTTAACATACGCCATCTCTGTCGAGCATAACTTTTTATGAAAACCTAATATACATCTAAAAACATTCAAATAAATAAATATAATTACAGTGCATCCATGCTATACTGTCATATATGCATTTCAGCATAATTACATTTTTTGCACACACACTGTGCTCAAAAATAATACAATTGAAGTGTGAAATGACACAAGAACTCAGCGTTTGCCTTGCCATTTTCTTAAATTATACAATCATCCCAGTATTGACCATTTTCATATTAAAGGCATGTTTTCAGCAAAGCAGCTATACTGTTACATGACGAATTACTATTTCTCAGTGATGCTCTCACACATCTCAGACAGAGCCTTTGAATCCAGATTACCGAGTTATTCAAAGACAGACCATTATGCTTATGTTTTTAAAGATTATATCAAAAAGATTAGTTTCAAAATCTGAGCACACTACAGCGTGGTTTCATTTAAAAAAACAGCTAAATGTAATTAGCAAAGTGACCTTATATACAAAATCAGTAGACTTTTTCAACAGTAACATTACGTTTGTCTCCAATAACGTACTGTAATCACAAGAGCTGTAGGTTTAGCCCTAAAATGCTAACATGAACAATTACGTGTTCTTAAGGCCTTAACTTGCACGTCTTAATACTTCGTAGTGTAGCTGTGTAAATATTTTTTAAATCTAAAGGAGTAATCAGTTTCTCCTTGTATTCGTTTTAAATACGCATATCAAGGGACATTTAAAGATTCGACCCTCTTTGGGGGCACGTTTTCAAAAATACTAAGATTAGCAACTTCATATATTACAAGACCTTGTATAATTTTATGCAACGTAAATTCGGAAACGTGAAAAACAACCAGGATTTTTTTTTTTTTAAGAGGCACTATGTACTAAATTGACCTAGGTACTTCATCTGCAAAATACTGCAAACGTTTACCGTCTTGAAGACACTTGAAGAAATATATATTTTGAAAATGTTATTTGAAAATATTTTCACAGAAAATAATTTAACATCCATTCAAGTTTTTTTAAAAGAAACGTCGTGCTTCAAGTGCAGGGAATGGCTGACAACATTAAATTGTTATTTTTTTGTCAATTAACGACACTCGGGCAAATCGAAAACTCCAAACAAATTATATTCCTTCTACACGTCATCGCTTGTAAATTACGATTTACTTAGTTTTCACTGTAAAAAAAATGTCTCCTCTTTCAGTCAGCACAGTAACACTGACGGAGTCCTGCACTGTTAAAATTATGCGCTGTACACACTGTGGCGGTCGCACCTCTCCGTCACCGTTAACACACAGCTCAAGGCTCTTCTAGCAGTTTAATTGAAACCGACGAGTTTGCACAAAAACAAAGTCCTAAGCGGTCGGAATAAACATCATACAAGATACGGGAAGCATATATATGTAGATATATCTACATGCCTATATACACAACAATGTTTTTTAACGGTGGATTCTGTTGTCAAACATTGCGTTTCCTACAAGAGCTCTGCTCTAACGTGGTCATTATAATGCTGGGAGAGTAAGACGTAAAGGTTGCCTTCTATTTAATTTAAACAAAATGTGTCTTTCTCTAACCCAACTTGTTCTATCCTATTAAGAATTTAAAACGAATCTTCCTTCGCAGAGGAGTTTCTGAAGATTTTCGAGTAGGTTTGAAGAGACATCTACCCTTCTCATCGGCTACCTAGAAATCGATATGATTGGCTGCTCAGTTCCTTACTGGCCAATAGGAATTCAATAGACTCCTCCTATTGACCAATAGAAACTGTTCTTCAGATAAGAAGAACTGACCAATAGGAACTACAGCTACTCCGCGTTCTGTATTGTCCAAGAAAACAGTCAGGAAGATCTGAAGAAAAGCAATAGTATTAAGCAAATCTGGGCCAACTCAGGACTTATTTGGTGTTGGTGGAGGGGAGTCCCCCTTATCTCTAAAGTGCTTTGAGTGGAGTGTCCAGAAAAGCGCTATATAAGTGTAAGCAATTATTAATACAGTACCTGAAGTCTAGGCTTTTACTGAAAACTGGGGGGGAGTGGGGGGGGGACCCTTTAGGTTTTCCATCTTGGCCCTTGTTGTAAGAGGTTTAATCACTTGGATGATGTTACATAAGGTCCATAAAGATTAAAGCATAGGGGTGTTA